CACCGCGAATCCGTCGCAGTCATATACCCATATTCTCCGACATGATCGCATCGTGGTCTCGCTAGACGCTGCGCTCGAAGACGCTGCAGCTGCTTTCACCGAGCTCGCAGGATGTCATACAACCACGAAGCAGGAGAATCAACACTCAAACATACACACACCCGTCAGAAGCGCTGGTGGCGCGCACGACCATCGATGAGGAGGAAGCAATCAAGCGCGGCACTACTTCATCCTACGAGACCATGATGCTCAAGGTGTGGCTGCCGATAATAAGCTCGGCAGTCACCCAATGGGGATGTAAAAGAGCCTCATCCGATGGTGCATCTACTCGAAACCTGGACTCCCGTGCTGCCACCATTCGTTGCAAAAAGAGTGCTTGAGCAGGTGACAAGGAAGCTTTCCACCTCAGTCCACGACTGGAATCCACGCAAGTTCAAGAGGAGCCCTCACACATGGCTTGTAGAATGGCTACCTTACCTGAGGCCATCAGACTTAGATCCCAAGGGCACGGGTCTAGTTTCGGAGGTGAAGCGCAAACTCCGCCATGCATTACAGTCAATCGACTTATCTCGAGGGCCACTAGCGGGTATGGAGTCGTGGAAAAAAGTCTTTGGGAAAGCAGAATTCGACCACTTACTGACCGCGCACTTGGTCCCTCGGTTGGCCGCCTATCTACGAGACAACTTAGAAGTCAACCCTGCCGAGCAAGATTTGGCACCTCTGGAAGCTGTCTTCGCTTGGAAGGGCCTCATCTCCAACCAGACTATCGGCGAGCTACTAAGAGCTCAATTCTTCCCCAAATTCCTCGACATCATTCACCAGTGGCTGTCAAGTGAAGAGGTGGTATTCGGTGAGGTTGACAAATGGATAGAGTGGTGGCGCGATGAAATTCTCAAAGCGGACATCAATGACCTGCCATCCGTGGCTGCCTGCTGGGACGAAGTCTATACATTGATCAACCAGGCCCTCGACCTGGGGTCAGCGAGGCTTACAGATCTGCCAGCGCCGCGTGTCGAAAGCACCCGGGCGTCTCCTGAAACGCCTCAGTTCTCAAAATCGGTCAATATGGAAGCGCCCCGTCCCGCGCCACAGTTGGATGAGATGACTTTCAAGGACGTAGTAGAGGAGTATTGTGCGGAAGAGAACCTATTGATGATACCGCTGCGCGAAGCACACGACACAACTGGTCTGCCGTTGTTCAGAATCACGGCGAGCGCGTCTGGAAAAGGAGGAGCGATTGCATATCTCAAGGGCGATATTCTTTGGGTACAGAACAAGAAAGATAAGAGCGTTTGGGAACCCCATGGTCTGGACGAAGCGCTTGTCGCAAAAGCCGAAGGAAAGTGAGCAACCACTCGGCAGAAATTCATTTCAAGACAAGATGGCGTGTCGTTATTCTTGGGATCTGGCAGGGTAAGCTCCCAAAGCCTCTCCTGGGCAGATATGTTTGCTAGCATTCGCTAATCCAGCATCAAACGATGCATGTTAGGTAGTGAGTATCGGTGTGATAGCAGCCTAAGGCATTATGCGACCGGACATTGAATCCATACCTTACTATATTCCTGGACTGATATCGCTTCACTTTTCTCTCGCTCTTTTCTCTCGGTCGACCGACTAACTGTCCGATCACCACTGCCGAAAAATACTAATCGGTCACGCAGCGTGAGATGAATCGCAAAACGACCAATGTCGTCTGCTATCACGCATGACGGCGTAAACGCGGCCTAATAATGGCTCGCTAGTTTGTGATCTTCCACGCAGTTTGCATGAACGTGCGAGAAACGCGTGGAGTATTGGCGTACGGCCAGACTCAAGTAGCTTTTCTAAGCCGGCCGATTCATGCTTGTCACACAGAAAGGGCGAGGGAGTGGCTGGGTGACAAGGTGATAGTGAGTCGTGGCGGCGCTTACAGCAACCATGTTGCAGCGAATGGGAATGCACCAAATCAACGGCCTTTCTCGACTGCAGGGGTCTTCGCCTTCATGCAGGCGGACCGCTTCTTCCCGCAAACTGTGCCTCCGATTCGCAGCAACCAGATCGCCCATGCGCTGGGTTATTTTGGGTGCTCGAGCGCTGCGGGCCGGCGGAACATGTTTCTCTACGATGTTTTGACATGACTTCGGACGACACAATCACTACGCAACGCCACAATGACAACGAGGCTCGCAATTCCACCACAGCGACTCGGATTGCGCAGCGCCCAAGTCCGCACAGGATCTGCTATGTGTCAGTCCTCCGGTTCTTCTTTGGTGTTAGCGCGCATAGAGGCGACCCCGCTCCAGCGCGTGATTGAGTGCATTGACTGGACGCCATCATGTCGCTCAAGAAACACTCTCTCCAATCACACCTCTGTACACCCTTGACCAGCCTTCGCTCCTGGTAACTCGTTTACCGTCTCTGTCCACTTGCAGCTTGCTCCTAGAAATACTGGCCAGCCGCCCATCCCTCATATCGCCATGTTGCCAGTTGTGATACAGTTCGAATTCAACCGGTACCTTTCTACCGGGTGATGGACAGTCTGAACCTGCATTCGATCTGGATCGACATTCGGGAGTGTTGAAAACCACCCCTCCCTCACCATTTCCTTCGCCTCAATCATGCTCGATAGAGCTTTGCCTCCTTCTCTGCTGTCGTTGATTCTGGTTGTTTCACAAGCCGCTGCATTTCCATACGATTTCAAGGACAACTACAGGAAACAGGCCCCGGCGCCTCAAGACGGCCCTCCTGCTTCAGCTCAAGCATCCCGAGACCCGAATCGTTTGCCATACGACGTCGCAGGAGTCGTTGGCGGATACGTCCTCACAGTACTTATCTGGGGAGTCTTGCTCCTCACCATCGGCAGAAAGATGAGACGAAAGGCGCTCGAACCTCCAAAGGCTCTGGAGCTGGAGCTCCACAACAATAAACCAATACGGCCTTCAATAAGGACAGCGCCTCTAGCTTCGCCATCTCTTTCAGCTCGGTCTGCGACTTCGTGGTTGCGAAAATTCAAGAAAAGCGACTCTGCAGTCCAGAGCCCCGTCATTGGCTCGCCCACATCCTTCGACCAGAAAGTCATTGATGACCACAACCAGCGCGCACAAGCAGATATGGAGCGCCTGTATGCAGCTGTAATGGACCACGATGAGCAGAAACACGCCTCCACGGTCAGCGTTAACGAGATGGAGCAAAGGCCCATGGAGCAAAGACCAAGGACAATGGAGCGAAGGCGACCTTCCGCCATCAGCACAACCCGCTCTCAGCACAACGAGGACGACAGCCCAATCTCACCAGTAAAGGCTATCTACCCGCCCGACTACCAAAATGGTCCCATGACCGCGCCTATGCCCCACGACCGCGTACGAGACCAATACCCACCCCCCAGCCCCCGCAGCATCGTCTCCAAGCGCTCACACCTTTCCGCCACAAACACCACAAGCAGCAAAAATGCCCGCTTCAACCTCAAGAACCTGCGCATCTCCGGGCCCATCCAGAAATACCCAGGCGTCGACTCCGACGACGAAGCCCACACTCCCCTCTCTCCCCGCTTCTACCAACCCGGCGCACCCCCCTCGCCCCCAACCCAGCAAAACAGCCCTACATCTCCCTACGACGCCGCTGAAGAACTCGACCGTGTCCAGCCCCTCCCACTCCCCGCGCCTCACCGCGGTAGCGCGCGCTCCGCCAGCTCGCCATCCTCGACCCTCCCCTTCCGCAGCTTCGCCGAGCCGCTGCAATCCCCCGGCATCCAGACAACGGTGCTCGAACCGGCGCGTCGACAAACTCAGTCTCACGACACCCAAGACGGGCGTGCCGTTCACCCCGTACAGTCCGTATATGCCGTTCACGCCTATCACGCCCGTCACGCCGCATCTGGTGAGCAAGCGCGATCGCAAGGCGGCGGCGAAGATGGAGAAGGGCAGGATGAAGGCGCTAAAGGAGGATATGGTACAGAGCCCCAAGGAGATATTTGGGGATGCGTGGTGATAAGGGGGAAGGGGATGAGTTCTTGTATATGAAGTTTAGTTTTTTTTTTTTTTTTTGAGTTTGCATCAGCGTTTTTTTTTTTTGGCATGAGATGATTGCATGCCATCCTTTGAGGTGGCACTTTATGACTTTTTCTTTTCTAGTGTTGTGCAGAGGAAGAGGGTGTATAGTATGTAGGTGGAGAGGGATCTTAGAGTAGTTTGACAATGTCTCGCGGCTATGGAGTGTATATATTGGAATTCGCATGATGGTTCATCAAAACTCGCTCCACTGACACGTGTAGCGCACGTCCTCAACTACGATGGAAGAGGCAGCCCATCAAACAGCCTGACGCTATCTACAGCACCATGAGTTTTTTCCCAAGTTAGACGGAAAGGTCCTGTGTATTACTCCAGGCTGCGGGATGCGCATACATATCTTCCGTCGTAGTTGGGTACCTTGGGAGTACCCTTTAATATTCCGAATCACATGACTTTTCATACATCATCTACATTTATTCATCCATCATAACCCATTCACCCCCCACGCCATCTCTACACATTGAGTTCCGCCACGCCCGCCTTTGCAATATATTCCCTGTACTTGGCGAGCTTACTATCCAACTCGCCTCCCTTCCCGCAGAACTTCTCCACGATTTCCGCACTGCGGCCCGTGTACAAAGTCGCATCCAGCATGCCGTCCAAATCAGCCCAAATCGGCTTGAAGAACTCCGTCGTGCGTATTCTGTCGACGAGATCATTGCTCTTGCCCTCGTTCTTCACCTGACTGCCCGCCTCGTGTGACAGCACGCGGATCTGCTCGTGCGCTTCCTGGCGACTCTCGCCCTTCGCCACGAGCCGCATGATGATGCTCTCGGTGATCATGAAGGGCAGTTCTTCCTGGACGCGTGCGTCCACGCGCTTGGGGTACACGACTAGGCCTGAAGTGACGTTGTCGAGAGAGAGCAGGATGGCGTCGGCGAGCAGGAACATTTCGGGGATGTCGATGCGGCGGATGGCGCTGTCGTCGAGCGTGCGCTCCATCCATTGGTCTGAGAGCGTGTTGGCGAAACTTGCGGGCTTGGACATGAGTTCGCGCGAGAGCGAGTAGATGCGCTCGCTGCGCATGGGGTTGCGCTTGTATGCCATGGCAGAGCTGCCGATTTGGTCTTTTTCAAAGGGCTCTTCGACTTCTTTCCATGCGGCGAGATGGCGGATGTCGCCAGAGATCTTTTGTGCGGTTGCGCCGAGTCCGGAGATGGCGGAGGCGATTAGCAGGTCGACTTTGCGGGTGTACGTCTGCGTAGAGATGGGGTAGCACGATGGGAAGCCAGTCTTTTTGCACAGCAGCTCGTTGAGCTGGTCGCACTTCTTGGAGTCGCCGCTAAAGATCTCGAGGAAGGAGGCTTGGGTTCCAGTGGTTCCTTGTGCACCGCGGAACTGAAGGCCTTGACGGACGTGCTCTATGGCTTCGAGGTCAAAGAGGAGGTCCTGGGCCCATTGGGCGGCGCGCTTGCCGACGGTGATGAGTTGAGCTGGCTGAAGATGGGTGTAGGCGAGGGTGGGTTCGGACTTCCATTGCATAGCAAACGCGGATAGGTTGGAGAGGACCTTTGCGAGTTTGGGGAGGAGGAGATCCATGGCATCGCGCATGAGGATGAGCTCAGCGTTGTCGGTGACATAGCAGCTCGTCGCCTGAATAGATGGTTAGTGTCCCTTCACTTCGGAGCACTGAACATCTTGTTTCAACGCTATGCGTATCGAACAACATCCCCCAGCCCTCAAAACTCCAGAGAAATAAACTCACCCCATAATGTATAATCCCCGCCGCCTTCGGCGCAACCTGTCCAAACGCATGCACATGCGCCATAACATCATGCCTCCTCTTCTTTTCCTCGACCCTCGCAACCTCAAAGTCCTCATCCGTCACCACAAGATGATCTCTCATCTCCTTCAGCGCCTCTTCGCTAATGTTCTCAATGCCCAGCTCTTTCTCCGCCTCAGCAAGGTACAGCCACAGCTTGCGCCACGTGCTGTGTCGCGAGCGCTGGCTGAACAGCTGCGACATCTCCTTGGAGCAGTAGCGCCCGGTTAGAGACGTTTGGTACGTGTCGAATACCGGGGAGCCGATTTTGCTCTTCATGTCGGCGATTTGGCGCTGGATGTCCAGGGTTGCGTCTGCGTTTATCGCCATGGTGGGCGAGCTGTGTGATGCAGTGTTGATGTCACAATTCCGTGGCACTGTGTACAGCGAGCTAATTGCAATTGAACTATTGCAGAGGGTATATGAGTTCGTGGTCAAAACGGACGCAGCTCCCTTTTTCTACCCGCACCGCATCCAGCTGCTCTCACGTGTAGGGGCCCAAAATTTCGAGCTGAGCCGCCAAGACCCCACATTCGTCACCCACAATCGGAGGCCGCAGTGCTAATCATTCAATGGATTCGTTTACTAGTGTACCAGATCGTCGATATGGCAAACTCGAAATGCCATGCTTTTCATTGCATGCTTGATACATGTCATACAAGTTTTGTCCGTTTGTGTCTTTCTTCACAGCAAGCGTTCGCAAGCGGTAGCCAGGAACAAATGCTCGAGTGTTCGGCCACAGTTGCGCCGGAGATACTTGTCGCCACGCTACGTGGCTCAGGCATACCCTTTCTAGTATTCCACGAAACATTTCTGCCAATTCCGCATCTTTCCGATACCGGCCGCAGAACCTTCGTGGGATGTATGCTCGGTACTTGACCCAACCATTTCACTGTCACGTCACGACAATGACAGTAGGAACGTCTTCCCTACCTGCAACGATTCGTGCAATCGATAATGTAGAACTAGTCTGAACGGTCCAGACTGTGTGGTATCTAAGACCCGCTTGTTTCTCCACCGAACTGCTGCCCAAGCACCCGCATAGCCGCTTGTAACCCAACTCCACAGAGAGCCTCCATCTCCACCAGCTTACAGCGCGGGCGCCTTCCAGACATCCCTGTTGATCTTAAACAGGTTGCTTTGCTTGTGTGGGAAGCTGACTTCGCGCTCTTTATAGAAGCCTGCTTCTTGGAGGTATCGGGCGAGTCTATACTTGTCAGTTCAAGGCCATTGACAGGTACCCAATTCACCTACTTCTCATTGTCCACTCGCGGCTCAAGCATCACTCTCTCTGTGCGGTTGTCGGCTAGCCAGCAGTAGTGCACAAGTGCGCTCAACCATATCTTCACTCTGTGAGGTCCCCTGAACTCTTGCTCGCCTACCAAGCAGTGGAATCCTCTGTCCCAATCACTTGTAATGGGCACATGCTTTCCAAGATTGTCTTCCTTCACCCAATATATCTCGAAGTAACCGAACGGCTTCCCGTCCCAGCAGCCGATGACTGGGAATGAGTTCTTGGATTTCAGTCCGTTCTTGATGAACTCTTCTTGATGTGCCAATTCGCCCTGCTCGCCCCAGAAGTGCGACACACGCGGATCGTTCATCCACTTGTGCAAATGCTCGGCATCTGACTTTGTGTCCATACTCAGAGAGGAGCTCATGGACAGTGGCTCCGAGGCAGCAATCTGACTGTTTCGCGGTGTAGAGACTGGACCGGAAACCGGACCACGGTGTCGGAGGGGTTTCGACGAACAGGAAGCAACTCTGAACGACAGATATTGGCCGACACTAGGGATGTACCGTGTGTAGAACACCTCGCCCTGTCTAGGTGGCTTGGGTCGCACGGGATGCCGAACGCCGTTCGTGAAGACGTATTGCGCGGGTGGAGGTGGGTAGTACGTGGGCAAATGCGAGCTCGAATGGAACGGCCCAGGTGCTGTCGGCGACCATAATCCTGTCGAAGCCTGCTCAAGCTGCTGCTCTCTTTGTGCATCTCCGCCTGAGCCTCGCGCCGGTGATGATGGTCGCGAGGGATATGGCGACCCGGCTGGGAACGGTGACTGGGCCATGGGCGACAGCGTAAAGAGGTAGATGCGCGGATCCAGCTGCCAGAAGTTCCTGCGACTGACAAACATGTTCTGCCAACCTTCAGGCGAGTTTTCCTCTTGCGCGCAACCTACGGTCGAGTCTTCACTGGCTATCAGCCCCATGCGCTCGAGCTTGGGCAACACCACCTTGCCCTTGAATATGCCTTCCCTGTTGATGTTGATCCTCCATTCTCCCTTGGGCTTTCCAGCATCGGCAGTGTTCTTAGAAGCCGCGGTGGTGATCTGAAGCGTGGGTTCGGGCTGGTGGAAGTACCAATAGAGACTGGCCCAGAGCATCATGGCAATCTGGCGGGTCGGCGAAGCAGCAGCCTTGTAGTCATTGCTACTCGGATTCGATATCGACGAGATGTATATGTGATCGCCATTGAGCGTCGGTCGTCGGTACCGGTGAGTATGTTTCTTATCCTCCTCAGACAATTCCTGCTGCCCCTGCCCCTCAGTATCCAAGTCATCCTCCGAATTCAGTATAATCGTCCATCCCGGGGGAAACGGCGAATTTGAACTCAGCAACTCATTTGATTTGAAGAAGAGGCCTCCAAACACAGGTGTAATAGTCAGCGTTTGGCCATTTGGTAGGTGGACGACGTTGGCGGGGGCCATTGTGATGACGATGGTGGGGTAGCTTCAGCTGTTGAAGAATAATCAGTGAGACATGTGTGACCTGGATACCTTGTTTTGGTTGTAGATCGATTATAGTGATCATGTATCGCGCGAGATGTCAGGCACAAATGCACGCCAAATTCTGGGCATGCGCGCACGCGGTCCAGCAGAGCCTGCCAGAGCTTTCACTCAATCTCATTGTTACGGACCGATCTTGCCCGCGCGGGGCGCCTGTAAAAGCTGCAGTCATGACGGCGGGACAGTTTCGTCTATGCGAACTGCTACTTTTGTATGCTTATGCATCTGCATCGTGACCCGACATACGAGGAGAATACATCATACCCACGTTGTGGTTTTCCATTGGTGGTCGGGTCAAGGACGGAAGGAGCTTTGACGTGGGAGCTCGGCGCTCGGGTTCATTGAGTATGACGAAATGCGGTCGGACGTGATTATCTAGCAACTTCTTCGGTACTCTGACACCGATATAACAACACCACAAAGTGCCTCTGAAGCTCAATTGACCAAAACACATCAATTGCAAGCACCATGAACACCACACTCCTCCGCACATCTGCCCTGCGCTCTGCCGCCAGGGCTACCGCACCCGCCGTCTCTCGAGCTGGCCTCGCAGGCACCACATTCGTCCGCGGAAAGGCCACTCTTCCCGACCTTTCATGTAAGTATACAGCTAAATAGTTCATGCACGAAGCCTAACAGCCCACCCAGACGACTACGGCGCCCTCGAGCCCGCCATCTCGGGCAAAATCATGGAACTCCACCACAAGAACCACCACAACACCTACGTAACCTCGTTCAACAACTTCAGCGAGCAAATCGCCGAGGCCAAGCAGAAGCAGGACATCGCCGCGCAAATCGCGCTCCAGCCATTGATCAACTTTCACGGCGGCGGCCATCTCAACCACACCCTGTTCTGGGAGAACTTGGCGCCCACCAGCCAGGGCGGCGGCGAGCCCCCAACGGGCGCCCTGAGCAAGGCGATTAACGACAGCTACGGCAGCTTGGACGCGTTCAAGGAGAAGTTCAACACCGCGCTGGCGGGCATCCAGGGCAGTGGGTGGGCGTGGTTGGTCCAGGATACCCAGACGGGCAGTGTGCAGATCAGGACGTACGCGAACCAGGACCCTGTAGTGGGGCAGTTCAGGCCGATTTTGGGTGTTGATGCTTGGGAGCATGCGTACTAGTAAGTCTTATCTAACGTCTTGCAATGTTGGAATGCGGACATGCTAACGTGTGTAACAGCCTCCAGTACCAGAACCGCAAGGCGGAGTACTTCAAGGCTATCTGGGACGTCATCAATTGGAAGGCGGCGGAGAAGCGCTTCAAGTGAACTACACGAATAGTCTAGGGAGGGATATGCTGCTCGATGTACGTTGACTTCTTAGTCGACTGCTAGTGCTTTGGCAGTATAGTAAGCCGAATGACACAAGACAACATATTCATCTACAATGACTCCAACTTCATGAGAAAATCGCACGACCGGTCAACTGTAGTAGGTCATAAATTCGATTAATGTCAGAAACGAGCGCAAAGTCTCCTCCCCAATACCATAAACGCCCCAACTTCCCCCTCCATGCAAATGCTGAACGCGCCCGCCCTATATGCAAAAACAGAAAGGTATAGAACTCCCAAAAGGCAAAATACTCCTTCGTCAGTCATTACTCTTCTACACGCTGGCTCAAATTTTCCTTCCTCTCCGCCTCGGCAGCCCAGACTCCATGCCCACCGTCGGGGGCACGATGACTTTCGGTGTGGGTATGCCCTTCTTCGGCGTTACTCCGCCGAGACCGGATCGTTGTGTGTTCTCCTTGCCCTCGGCAGGAAGAGTGGCCACGGACTGTGGCAGCATGACCTTCTTGGGGGCAGCAAGACGACTCTTTCGCTCTTTGGTTGGCTCGACACCCACGGGTGCGATGTCGAGGCTTGGGAGCTTGCTTTCGGGCTGTGAGGCTGAGGCGACGGTCATTTTCCTGATCTTGCTGGCCTTTGGACGAGGCAGCTGTTGTGCTGTTGATGCTGCAGGTGCCGGAGTGGCGTCCTTCTCTTCATCATCGAAAGGCGTGGGCGCAAGGAGAGCTTTCGCCGGAGTACCGTTCGCCGTTCCAAGGCCTCTGACTCTTCGCACCTTAGGCGTTGAGTTCTTCGACACTTTGCTCTTTGGTTTTGCGCTTGGTGTCGAAACTGCGTCAGACATGCCTAGCTCATCTGGTGTTGCAAGACTCTCAGCCTCAGCAACCGTTTCTGGGTTTTCCTGGTAGTACGCGAGCTGCTCGTCCCAACGGATGTTTTTGCCAATGACGATCTCCCGGGTGGAATCATCAAGTGGCGGCAAGTTGGCGGCGTCAGCTGCAAGCTTCATGAGGCGTACGGTTACACCAAATGCACCCTGCTTGTTCTTGCGCGTGTTGGCTCGAGTAAGCAGCGAAAGTTCTTGTGCATCACTCTTCTTGAGCACGACATGCTCGGTGCCATCAGCGCGGCGAATCGCAATCTTCGATGTCTGGGGTTGTGTTTGTGCTGCGGATGCTGGGGCGGGAAGTCGTGATTTCTTCGCTCGAGATGATCGCCTCGAGCCCCGCAAAGACTTTTCGTCCGTCAAGTCCTCTCCTTCCGTAGCGTTAGGGGTAGGTGACGCGAGATTATTGTTGTCCATGCTGAGGGTAAGAGTCTGGGAGAGGTCCAGCGTCAACTCATTGTCGTATTTGGAGGGCGAGTTGGGATCCTTTTCTTCTAGGGCTTTGCGTGGCGATGATAGAGCGTGACGGATCACATCTGAGTCACGGCGGTTCTGTAAAGACTCGCGGCGATGGGTCATGACAGCAGCCTTCTCTGCCTTGCTGGCCGCCGCGCGGTTGAGGAAGTCCTTGAGCAGAGCTGTATCGTCGTCAAGCGCAATGGTCATAGTCGCATCGTCCAGACTGGACTGCGCGGGGGGCGGTGGCGGGGAGTGAAGCTTTCGTGGCGTGGGCTACGACGGAGAAGGTGCTCTTGCTGGTGTAAATGAGAGCGTCAATCCATCAGTTATGTCCGCTATCTGAGAGCTACCTGGCGTCTGGGTGGGTTCATCGTCGTATGGAGCTGAGGAGCCATCCTCTTCCGACAGTTCTGCAAGGTTTGTGACTTCTTCAGGCGTATCTTGAAGAACACCATCTTCAGGTTCACCGCTAGCTGAGACATCGCTCATAGCTTCTGCCAACATAGGTTGCTCTCCGTGTGCGACTTGCTCGTAGTCTTGTTGGATGTTCAATTGAAGAGATGCCTCGGTGAATTCCTCATCAGCAGCAGTTGTGTCGAGACCGTCATCCAGTGCCAGCCCGTCCTCCATGTTGATGTCTACTGACTCTTCCCCATCGGATGGCGCTTCTGGGGCAAGAATCACTTCCTGGACTTCTTCTGCGGCAGGTTCGACATCGGCCCTCGGCGAAGATCCCAGAGGCAGAGCTGGATACGCGATGTCGTCAGACGCCTGTTGTACCCTTATGGCTGAGACTGCAGGAGAAAATGGCTCAGAGACCGAGTCGACATGATCTAGGGTGTCCGCATCAGCAATATCCTCCTCTTCTTGATCCGCTTCATTGCGAACCGCCTCTTGTGCAGTGACTATCTCCTCTTCCTCGTTTGAATTGCTTCCAACTGGCTCTTCGGCATGTTTATCAATGCCCAATTCAGCTACAAGCTCACCGTCATCCATCGCCATGGAATTCGTCTCATGTTCGCCCCGGTCGTTGTCGCTCAGTGGGAGCTGGGGATAAGCGATCTGCTCGAGATGAAGTGGCGACGCGGAAGTCTGTTTCATGGGCGAACGGAAGAAGTTCATGAGGGTGGCATCTTCCGCAGGCGCGCTTTCGGCATCATTAATGGTGTCATCCTGCATACCAACCAGGCTTCTGTCATGAGCTAGACCTTCACTAGCTTCAGCATCCATGGTGAAAGTGAAAGTCGACCGCCTGTCCTTTTGAGCAGGGAGCTGGTTCTGGACGTTTTCCATGCTCAGTTCCAAGACGGACTCAGTGTCTGCAAACGTCTCGTAGCTTCGGTCTCCTGCAGTCGCGTCCTGTGCATCGTCACTCTCTGCCGCCTCGTCCTGGTCGTCTGCGGTAGAGTCGTACGCGCGTGTCGCCTTCTTCCCTGCATGTCACGTTAGCACGTGAGCTCATGGTGGACCGAACATGTCCTACTTGGCAAAACACTCTTCCTACGGTCCCATCGCGTCCCTTTGAACGCGCGCGTCTTGCCATTGAGCTTCGCAGTCGTCTTCTCCATAGCCTCGGGGCTCATATGCTGCCTCCTTTTTGTTGCTCGCGACCGCGCATCGTGTTCTTCTTCATCGTCCTCGTCTTCAGTGGTCTCCGGTGCACGCGACCTCAGATTAACTCTTCGCCAGATCTTCTTGGCCCGCCCTTCCTCCGTCTTCTTGGTTTCTTGCTTACGTTCCCATCCCCGCGGTATCCTGGCGACAGGCAGAGAGCTCGGGTCGAGTAAGGCGGCGTCGGTGTCGTCCCATGTCTGGTTAAAGGATGCGCGCGTCACACGTTTTCGTGGCGAGGGAACCATGGCGACGTAACGGCACGTAAGGATGCCGAGGAATACAGAATGTTATATAGTCACAAACATCAGCGCGGAAAGAATGTCGTGATCCGGTGTCGAGTGGTGGGTTTCGCGTGTCGACCCGTTGGCCGGCAGCGGCAACCACAACAAACATGAACAGCAGGGCACGCTAGTCCCGTTCGGGCCGTTTCCGCGGCTCGAACTTTTTGGACCGCATCGACATGGACATCGACGAACATCGCCATACGACCTCGAGAGTCACGTCGCATCCGATACCGCACCGTCGCAAACACCGCAAAATCCTCCACGATGGTTCCAAAGCCACAGGGCAGTGCCGTGCAGTCGGCCACGCACCGACCCCTCCCACCACTACCGAAACTCCGCGTTCGACGACCGAATAAGCCAGAGGCAAACCCGTGCCTGGGAGTAATGTCATCAGTACTGGGTACGTGGCTCTTGCTGTGGATATGCGGGATGGATGGATACAGGCGCAAAAGGCCATGGAGGCAGCCTCATTGCGCAAGCATCTGCGATTGATGAGCATGGAATTAATCGCAGAGCTGAAGAGCTAACTCGCTGCACACAGGTTGCTGGGCATCTTCAGGATACAGTGTTCAAGGTTGCGCACAGCTTGAGCAAAAATTACGGCAGTGCATGGATGCACCAGTACGTACCTCACCAGTGCAAGTAGCCATGATGTCGCTGACTTTCCTAGCGCGACACAAATGTAAAGAAGAACAACATCAACTACCACCTCTCGAGAATGTACCCAAAGATCAAGGGACCACACAAGCGGGACTAAACACTTCGTCAGTCGAATGTATTACATCACATGTATATCCAACATACGGCGGTTTGCTTGAGCCTTCGGCGTCCGCATTTGAGGAGTTTAGAAATCATACCATTGGGCTGGCGTTACGGATCATGTACAGACGAATTTAAGTTTTTGTGAAAAGAGCTGGATGTTTCTGCATACCGTGAAGAGGCGACCAGATCCGTCTTGTGTGACAATCAATTGTCTTCTCCGTAAGGGAGATGTGACGCCGGGCGCCACAACAACTCGAAGCACTGAGAGAGTAACTATCCTACCATTTGCGAACTGGGAGGTACTCGAAGGCTAATTCCGATGTAGAGAGATGTGAAATTTGCCTTGAAGCCACATACTCTTAGCCATCGCTATGCTCTTAGTAGGTAGCCGACGACTTGTTGCGCAACCTGGTGACGTTACTTTTGTGACACATACGAACACTTAGAACTAGTATCTTCAACTTGCCCTTTTACACTGAAACACTCCCTTGTGGACGGGATGAAATACTGGAATATTTGCCTCCTCCAGGACCGGACTAGGCTGAGTCGCTGTCTCTTGCGCATATTTTCGTGCCCACGCACGTCTCAGTCTTCTTCCACTAGCATACGGCAGTTCATATGGATGCTGCACATATCATGTAAGCTCCATCTTCCATGCATCGGGCGCAGCTCCCCCATCTCGCGAACATCGTCAGGATCTGTTTTGAGGACCTCGACTCCAGATCTTCGGATCTCAGACAGCGATACCATTCGATGAACACGAAATAAACCACGTTCTTCAAGGGTTATCTCGAGCATCATCGGGCGTCGCTCACCGAACGGACGCATTGCTATATTTGTTTCGTCCTTGGCAAGCCTCATGCACGCTCAGACCCAATCACACACCACCCCACTACACCGAAGTGTACTCAGCCCCGACCAGCTTACATGCCTACATGCTAGCTACATGCGTGAGTTTTTCCTTCCTTGAGTGGCTGGCTCTCGTTTCCACGTGTGCAAGGGCGTTTTATCACCCATCCGATTTGTCTACTCCGGCAGAGCTGCGTCAAGATGTGCCTATATTGCATACGCCATGATGCATGAGGGAAGGCTCACCCGCATGATCTGAGCGATTCAGCACATGGCACCGGATCGCAAGGGTTAGCTCATGCGAATACACCAGGGAGCTTGTAGCTTGTCTTGCTTCTTGTGGTGGGGGAGGTTGGCCGCATTTGCTCAGCCTTCTCAAACTGGAGCTCTTTATAGTCTGCTTCATCGCGTAACGATCTGCGCAAGCTGTTACAATTCCTTCTCTTGTTTGCGAAGCTCTGTTGCGCAAAATCTACCCCGTCTTCCAGCAGAATTTACCAAAAAGACCGCGCTAGCACTAAAATCATAGCTGCCATCACATGGACCCACGATGATGTTGACCTACACTTTCTGTGTGCTTCTCGCACCAGTCATCGTATACGGCGCTGCGTTTCCATGGGCATTGCCAGTGCCTACCCTATTTGCGCCTGCAATTGACAGCTGGAGCCCGGCACCAACTGCGGCAGCTCGACTACCAAACTCTGAGGTTTTCAGACGCGATACACCCCAGGGTGATAATACCTGCGCCTTCGTTTCGGGCTCTTTACGTATGTCCCAGCTCCCATGTATACCACTTCACTATGCTAATGACTAAACCAAAATCGCCAGTAACATGTTCCAACTCAAACCTCGTTTGCGCCACAATCCCCCAGAACGGCGTCCAGGGCTGCTGTGACCAAGCATCCTTAAAGGCATGCGTGATCCCAACAGCATGCATCGCCAGCACCGCCATGTCTTCTCTCTGCACCGACGCAGCATGTTCCAGCAACTCCAGCATCATGAAGTGCACAGAAGCCGCCATGCCAGAGTGCTACAAGTGGCTGGTCGTCTTCGACAAAACCTACAGCCTCACAACAATGACGCACCACAGTTGCGCACAGAAAGGCTTCACAAGTGCGGTGATGAGATCCCCAGGTCAAATTGCGAGTTCCATTCCCCCGGAGCAGTATCGCACTGTGACTGTGACGGATATGGCTGCGCCATCCGACACCGTAATTCCTCTAGCACCTGTTCCCGGCCCCGCGAAACCCAACCTAGCCGCGATCATTGGAGGGACTGTAGGTGGGTGTACGGTCATCAGTCTCATCGTCCTCACTATCTTCCTTATCCGTAGGCATCGCAAGGCTGCTCACAACGATATCGCTCAACCACACACAACTCAATACCACGACGGCAACGGCACAGTAATCGAATACAATCCCCAAAGCTTTCCCTCTCCAACATACCCCATCGACACGAAAACATGGGTTCAACAACATTCCGGTCCTGTCGATCGGGTCAGCGATGCGATGCCACAGTATCCCAATATGGCGGCTGGACAGTATGGGATTGTAGAAGTCGATGGAACACAAAGGGCGGTGGAAGTACCCGCCGAGAATATTTACCGTGCAAGAGCGAGCACGTGAACGTGGAGTGCTCTTGTTGTTTGATGTCATTCGTTCTTAGCGTGCATTGCATTGGGAGGCGTACATTTACAGCGAGTGTTTTCGGGGGACGACGGAATTTAATTGGATAAGGATATACCCATGGAGAACAGGTCACTCGCTTTACATCTGCTGGTTTTGTCATTGGGGCTAGGGGTGCTTCAGCCGAAAAGATTGGGGGCGTTGTACGGATTGTAGCGCGCTGCTATGCGCTTCAGTGCGTTTGAGGAGATGGAGATAGCGTATATTGGTGGTACCAGATATCCCAAAGTACTCTGTGTGAGTCTCTACGGCTTGTCCATGTGCTAAAGTTGTGGTATGCTGCCTGTTGTGTTGTCTCTTTCTGATCACTTTGGTGTACCTTGCGTGTTTTGTGCATCTGCTGCTAAAAGCATGATTCTACTTTTTCAGAATAAACATATCAAGGTATGAACCTAAATTCGAGGTACAGATGGAGCATCGCAGTGCTGTTATCTTACGATGTGGGAAGTACGTAACGCACGTGAACAGGCGTGCTACTTGCAAGGCCAGCACAGACCCCCGCGTCGACTCCGCCCGGCCACACGCATCGAGTCCGCGCTCAGGGTCAAACCACAACCGACAAATAATTGCGGACAACATTTCGATTGCTCGGGAATCTACTGGCAAATAGTAGAGCTCGAACAACTGATAGACATCTAACGCGATATCCCCACAAATCACCGTCCGCCCTGAAATATTGCCCACCGCTTACCTGAGACCTTCATCCTCAAAGATGTTGGCGGAAAGTAAAATCGACTCACTAGATACTCATCTAGAACAATTCAAGCTGAACAATCGGACGTCGCAGAACGACCTACAGGTAGAAGCAATGGGACCCGTGGCATCAACTAGAATCCTTGCTAACCGCATGTAGAATCTGCTCAAAGAGTACGCCCAGCTTCTAGACGATTATAAAGACCTAAAGAAAGCTTTCGAGTCTAAAAGCGCAAAGCCCGTGGCCAAGTATGCAGCTACACCTGTACGCCCAGCAGAGAAGCCCCGTAGCCCTTATGTCCTCGTGCTTGTCGACGGCGATGGCTACATCGTAAGTCTTTTGGATCAAACAAGCACAAGCTGTCGCTGACTTCTAGCAGTTCAATGATGAGCTCATCCGCGACAAAGAAGAAGGTGGCATGCGAGCTGCCCGTATGCTGAACGAAGCAGTGGAAAAATACTTACACCAAAGCGTCCCAGAAGCTCGGAATTTGCGTATCCTGGTGCGCATCTACGCCGACCTAACGAACCTGTCAAAGCAACTAGCCAGGTCGAAGTTGACCGGGCTCGAGAAGCGTTCTCTTGGAGCGTTCTCTGCTGCGTTTACGCGCGCCATGAGCTCATTCGACTTTGTCGACGCTCTAGATGAAGAGGGCACTAAGTTTAAGATTAGAGGTATAGAATCCGTTGCACTTTTCGTATAGAAATTTGCTTACAGACATTCAGAACAGTTCCGGGTTGCTTCCGAGGATAGCGCTTGTAGTCACATTCTATATGCTGCATGCCACGACAGTGCCTATCTCTCCCAGCTCGTGCCGCATAAAGGCCAAACCGAGAAGATTACTCTCGTACAGGGCACCAATTGGAGTCCTGAGTTCTATCAGTTCAACTTGACTGTCACACAATTCCCGACAGTGTTTCGATGGCTAAGCACACCGACCATAGCCCCGACCGCAAAAGCTGCTAATGGTAATGGCTCCGTACCTTCCAAGGCCAAAAGTATCCAGAATAAGTCTATCCCTCATGCGCCGTCGGAGCCTCGTCAAAATGGGGCATGGGGTAACGGGGGTTCAAGCTCAGCCTTTGAGAATGGGCACACCTCAAACGACCGAGCTTCATCAGTTGCTACGAGCAGCCACGATACCGGATACGGTAAGAACTTCGGTAGCAAGGCTACAAGCTCCCAGCAGTCTTCACAGCAGTCTTCGAAGCAGCCATGTAGATTCTTCCAGAAGGTAAGCCGATGTTAGAGAACACCACATGTATACCAGTGGCTGATTGTCTCAGGGCTCCTGTCGCTTCGGTACTAAGTGCGAGTTCCAACATGTGCCTCCCACTCTGGATGCCGCGGGCCGAAAACCATCAGGCACATCATCAGGCCCGTCATCAGGCCGTTCAAACATATCCTCCAGCCTTCCTACCACCATATCCTCCAACTACATCCCGCTAAACAAGGCATAATCAGCGTATCGACACTTATATACGTCCTCCAACCCAGGCAGAATGGTCTATCTATAACTCGCGCTTCCACAAGCAGAAGCCTTGTAATAGTTTCCACCTCCAACGTGTCTGCACTACGCTTGGCTGCCCTTACGATCATCAGGAACTCGAACCGGAGTCTAGGCACGTACTTGAGTACGTTGTCAAGTGCTCCCCGTGCCCTAAGAAAGGCGATTGTAGAGATAGTAATTGTCCCCTCGGACATATATGTCAGAAGGATGGCTGCCAGGGACAGATGAAGGGATGTAGGATGAAGTCTGACCTACATAACGTACATCCGGAGCTTGCGAATATGGTGTTGGTGGAAGAGGAGGAGGAGATGGTGCATGGTCAAGAGCAGGAGATGCCGGTGTCGGTGCCGGATGACGATGGCTATCTTTGGTAGTCGGTGGAGAAGATGGATGGTTGGATAGTGGGCTCATTAATTATTCTGATTCGGATAGCCGTGGTGGAACATAAGGATGGAAAAAGCAGAGGCCTACCCTAAAATACCGTGACGAGGAGAAATGCAGTGGCTCGTGAAGAAACCATTTCTCACCTGATCACCTGTGTATCGATTCGGGATACGATATGGCTGGACTGGGGTTTGAATCTTGCTATCTGAAAGAACGGAAATAATCAAGAGAGAAGATGGGTTTGGCTATAATCTCAAGACATCGTGCGTGAAGGTGAATGTCAATCACCTTCGAACTTTTTCTTATTTTACGGCTTTTTTGTCTTTCACTTCCGATTCCGTGTCTTCCACGCACTATATTTTTTTGGTCCGTGGCCTTTTCAATTCCTCTCCAAACCTATCAAACCGCTACTCAGCTCAACCAATACCCAATCTTCAGATCAGGCTCAACTACCATGTCCGGGCCCTCAGAGCAGAAGCGTGCGCGTGTCGTGCAGCTATACTGCCCCGATCACGAGGTCACAGTCGACAACTTCATAATCACGCCTTCGATGGCACACAAAGACGTCGTCACCGCCATTATGGCTGCCTTCCGTCGGTACAAGATCAAGGAGGCTTGGCCATGCGACATCAACGGTGAGCCGCTCTTCGCCAACGCGGATTGCCCGTCCACCCTCGACGATGTCGTCGATGGCGAGCGTCTCCTCATCGCCCTAGATAATGATTCGCCCATCTACCCCGAGCCGCCGCTCGAAGTGGTGCTCTACCTCGACGGCGACGACTTGCCCAAGCCGCTTCGTGTAAGTCTCCCAATGGCAGTGAGGCGTTCCAAGCTCTACTATGGGGCGTCCTCCGGACGTCTGAGAGTGCTTGAATACTCACACGCATGTCGGAGTATACACTGACATATGATGTAGAAGATGTCTCGCGAAGACCGCCGCAACCACATCCGCACTCTTCGTCGCCGCGACGCTGTTCTGCGCAAGAACATCCTCCGTCTCAACCTTCCTCACATGGAGGTCATGGCCGCACTCAATATCCTCGCCAGCGCCAACGCCCGCACCTTGAAGGCCCGTTTCTCTGTCACCCAGTCCAAGCGCATCATTCAAGACAACTGGCGCGTGAACGAGGTCCAAGCCCTCGAGCTAAAGTGCCTTGCCACCATGGCCATCCTGAGCCAAGCCACTTGCGGTCAGCCTCTTCTCGCCGAGAATGCTATGTTCGATGCGAAGTTGGCTCGTCGTAGTGCAGACGCATCCGCGCCGCGTGACTTGCAGGAGGAGGACGTACAGAAGGTCATCGACGACTTTTACCAGGCTGCGAATGCCATCGGTTCGGACTGGCCTGACGACGACGACAACGCAGCCATCGCTGCGCGTCAGGGCAAGAATGCGCGTCATCAGTCTGGCAAGTTCAAGGCGAGAATGGCACAGCAGGACATGGTGGATGAAGAGGAAATGGGCGAAGAGGCTGCTGCGGTTGCGAACCCTGGAAAGGGCAAGGGCAAGGGCAGGTCCGTGGACTATCTTGCCGGCAAACTGAGCAAGACGAGAATTCCGGACAACAGGGCTCCTGAGGCTGATTCGGATGACGACGACGACGATGCTGTAAGGCAGCCTGGACGTATGCGCCGCAACTAGGCTAAGTTGGTTACCTTGGATGGATCTAGTACCTGAAGAGCTTGAGCTCGAGATTGATGAAGCATACAACGACATGACAGGCATGTATTCTACATAGACAGCAAGCCATAAACCCATACTTGGAACCAAATCCCGTCTCACTGTAAACTATGATAATTGTGGCGTGTGCAACTGAGTCCAAACTAACACATGCATGACAGCGATTTGCTTTTGACAAACACAACGCCCAGCCTGGCCTTTTCACTTCTGTTTGCTCTTTGCGTGATACACTTTGCCCCACTCAGGCCTTCCCTTCCCTCGAAATCTGGTTACTCACTTTGCTCATCTTAAATCCAATCATGCTGCATTTAAATATCTTATATGTTTTGATTAATTCGAGAATCTGTCAATAGAAACAGAACGGTGTTAGTAAGTAGTGCCTGTGGATCCTTGTGCCCCAACTATCGTGTAGCCACGGGTTAGGACGTGCAGGTTACGGAACGCGCTTAGTAAATTCTATTATTTTTGCTCATGTCGCTCCCTGTATGTTGTACCTTGAAGGTCACGAGTTCGAGTCTGAGCACAGGCAGTTGCACTATTGTTCTCTAATCTTTGCTTTCTTTTGTTTTTATAATTCAGTGTGAAGTGAAGGTGAAATGCGCACCCAACTAGCTTACTTTATTCAAAGCACAGCTACTCTATCTACTCCTCTCACCTGTTCTAAACCCTTCTTTCCTCAGCCTCTACCCTCTTCTCAACACTATGGAGTCTTAAGTCCCCATCCGCGCAGAAAGCGCGCCTACCAACAGCAACAGCAACAACAACACCGTCGCGCCTGCGAGCGATGACGTCGAGATGCAAGGCGAGGCCGGAGCAACAAAGCGTGGTGTAAGCAATTTACCCTATCGATTCCACGTTTACCTGCATACTAATCCACCATTTAGCACTGGAAGAAATTTGCTGACAACAAACGCCGCAAGGCCAAATACATCGGCATCATCTTGCACAATTGGGAGCTCTCGTCCCCCAATGGCATCCTCCCTGCGCATCTGTGCCCGCGCGAGCGCACGATGCCGTCGGATAGACACATGTCCGAGTACGAGCACAAATCGCGCGTGCAGCTGGGTGCGGAGGATACACCGGTGCTTGAGTATGGCGAGTGGTCTATAGAGCTGCGTCGTGGTCTCTGGGAGTTGAGTAAGGCTACGGTGGGTGATGCCCCGTATGCCGTCAGGGTGTAAGTGATACATTGATTTGAATACTGATGAGATGAATTGTGATACTGATTGGGATATGTAGGCTGAATGGGGTGGTGAAGGAGCGACACGACTCGGCATTCATCAATGTCCATGGGCTGTCAAAAATGGTCAAGGGATTGATCCCGTGGGACACCAAACGGGCCTTGGAGAAGTTGGAGGAGTTGAGAGCGAGGGGTGTAGGCTACCCTGTCGTCCAAACCGATACCGAATAAACCAATGCCTACCTGCCAACCCCACCAAACAACTTCTTATTCTTCTTCATCAGCGCCGCCAACTTCTTCTCCAACACCTCATGTTCCCTTTTTGCCGCATGCATCGCCCTTTCCGCCTCTTCCATACTCATCACGCTCCCGCGTCCATACCGACTCCCGTCAAACCCTTCGATCGCACTCATCAAGCCCTCCATATTCAACCCACCACCAACGGCGCCACCTCGACCAATAGTAATGTTGCCATTGGAGTCCAAGCCAAACTCCTGACTTGATTCGAAACCCAGACCAGCGCCGACGAGCGCTTCCAGGCCTTGGACGAAGACGCCGCCGAGGAGGTCCGCGGCCATCATGCCCATGCCGTCGATTTCGGTGCTGCCGACTGCGCCACCTTCGACGACGGCTTTGGCTGCTTTGGCGAATTTGCCCACGTTGACGGAGATATTGGCTGTACCTGCGCCTGGTGGACCGCCTACAGCCGCCATCTCAGGGCGAGGCTGGTTCGGGGGCGGATTGTCGGTTTTGGGGAGAACGAAATGGTTGAGGTATGAGCCAGCGTCTGCCGGGGTTTGTGGCTGTGGCGGAGGAGGGGGTTGCTGGGATTCTTGTTGTTGTTGGACTGGAGGCAAGGGCAGGCGTTCAGCTTGACGGGCAGCTTCGCGAGCTGCTTCGTTGAGGATAGACTGGGCGTCTAATCTGGGCATTTGCTGGGTGTTGTTGTTGCCAAGCTTCTTGCCGGCTTCCTTGAGTGCTGTAGCAATGGCAGGTAATACGTCTTTATTCTGCGAGGTAGCAGCATTGTGGGAATGTGGGTAAGATGGATGCTTGCGAGGATGGAAGCGCGCGTGTCCACGCAACTCCTCAATCTGTCGCTCGAGTTGGAGAGCCTTCTCCTCTAGCTCTTCGCTCAGACCCCAAAAGAACTTCCCATTTGGTGTTATGAGGGTTCTTGAATCGGACCTATCATCGTGACCATTGAGACGCACAGGCTTCTTCTTCGCAAGTGCCTCGAGATCTGCTTCTGAAAAGTGGATCTTCAGATCCGGGGGTCCAGATACGCTACTAGCTGGGGTAGTTCGAGATGCATGAGTGAGCGACGAAGAAAGTGGCTTGAAGAACTCGAGGGTTGATGCAAGAAGCTCGCCTGTCTTTTGTAGATCGACCATGATGGACTGTGCTGTGCACTCCCTCCTCTCTTTCGAATCAGGGAAATGCTCCGGGTCTGGTGTTGCGGTGGCAGAAGTCTTGGGCGAGGGTGCTGGTCTTGCTGCGACCACAGGCGCGGGTGCATCTGAGTAGACTTCTTCGACCATTGCGGGCTTTGGGGATGCAGGTTGACTCTTGGTGAGTGACTTAGGTATGGTCGTTGGTTTTTTAGTCTTCTTCTTGCGCCCAATAATCGGCGCTTGTATCACTTCGACATCCGACTTATTCTCCTCAATAGCCATCTCTTCCTCTATTTGCTTCTTCCGTTCTTGTCGGTCTTTCTTAGCTTGTGATTTGGTCTTCTTGCGCACCGGTGCTGTTCCCACCTTCCCACCAATAGGTGGCGGGGAGTTGGCTCTTGAAAAAGATGTCGACGTGACCGATGCTGTATCAGACATCATCTCGCTGATTGGTGTACCAGGCAGATTCATAGATGCGATACTAGCCTGTCTAGATCGTAGTTTGTCGACCGTCGAGATTTGAGGTAATGGCGGTGCAGAGGCCGCAGACAAAGGTGGAGGGTTCTCGGTTTTTGGTGTTGGAACGACACGTAAAGTCCTCGGTGCCACGGTTCGCTTGATGGGCGATCCAGTGGCCGCGGCAGCGGGACTTGCGGGGACAGATGTTGTTGAAGTTACAGGCGTCGCGCGAGTACTCTTGACCTGAGCGTCGGCCTTCTGTGAGCTCGTCGCTGGAGACTGTTCGCCTGCGGGACTCTGACTTGCTGCTGTTATATCTAGTTTCCCTGGTGGCTGCCGCTTGGTAGAGGCGACAGGAGTCGCGAATGGAGCGGTTGTGGGTTCCTTGCTCTCTACTGCAGATGCCTTTGCAGTCTTCTTCTGGGGACTAGTGTCCTGGCTAGAAGCATTCTTCTTAGGCGCTTTCCCTTTTACCGACTCTTTCCCTGGTGTTTCTGGGGTCGGCTTCTTTTCTTCTGCCTTTGGCTGTTGCTTCTTCTGAATGGGAGTGACTTCTACGGCCTTGGGCGTGGGCACACCAACGGTTGGCGTCTTTACCGTGCTTGCTTTGCCCGTCACTTTGGTTGGAGTCTCTGGTGTCGCTTTGACCTGGGTCGTAATCGCTGGGGGGGCTTCTACTGGCTGTTTCGTTTTCTTGTTCTTGGCTGGCGTGACAGGCACGACGGGGACCGCGGGCGTGATAGTAGACGAAGTAGTTCTGGACATGGGTCGTGAACTCGGACGGGACTTCGATTCTTCAACTATAGCTCGGGGAATTGCAGTAGCGGAGAAACCCGGTGGTATCGTCGGGGTTGCTCGCCGCGACTGTGTGAAGAAGTGGCTGCTCATAGGTGTGCTGGGTATGCTACGCGGTGGCTCAAGTTCAGGTTCCGTGTCGTTGACAAGGGCATCGACGTTGAACGAAGCTTGCTCTTCGGCGCTGAAAGTCGCATCATCTGTACACAGCTGTCAGCTTAATCGTTTTTATACATTAATTTGAACAATGATTGTGCAATTTTCACGACAACAACTACAACGGTCGCCAGACGGTTTTTAGCAAAGAGTTGCCAGTCATGTTTAATATACATCAAAGTGCAAAGGTATATCTCCGATCGGCTTCGTCACTAGAAGGGAACAAGAAGTGTTTGAAGAAGCCATCTCTCTATTAGAAAGTAAGCATGCCGTTCTAAACGCGGCAAGGGGGGTGATTACGTACATGCGATGGCCATGACGAAGACGACGAGAGAAGCTGACCTAGACGTCTGGCAAAGCAGCATGACTCCCGCCCAGTATAATGAAGAAAAGAAAACATGATTATGATGGTGGTATGATGCCATGTCGACGTGCCCAATCCAGCACTGTGTGACGGCAACCAGCCCATTCGTGAACGCCAGGCATCTCAGTGTCGTCCACTGATTCGTGTGCCGATGCAGTTGTATAAAAATCCAAAACGCCATGCAGCCATCGATGAAGGAAACGTAGTAAGACAATATGCCTGCGCACATGGCCGACAAATATGTGAAGAAAGGAAGAAATACTACCACCGTCCGGCACCGTTGTAGTTGTTGTTTGCATAGAGGGAGGAGAAGCCGCCTTGACCTTGGCCGTACATACCCTGTCCAGCCATACCACCTTGATGGAGCCTCGCCTGCAAGATACTCGGGTCTTGGACATCTGCTAGGCCACCGCCTCCAGAAGAGGAAGTGTTAGCATGCCTGTGTTTTTTGCCCTTCTTCTTGGATTTCTGCGAACCAGAATCCTGGTAAGCGCCAGGCGAGGGACCATAAGGGAATGGCATTAGGCCAGGGGCAGGGGCAGGCGTTGAGTTTGCGGAGTGTTGATTAAGAAAAGAAGGAAACATTGACTCACGCTTTCCATCAGCTACCCTCGAAGCACCGTCCATGTTCCTGCTTCGAAGCAAGTCTTGGTACATTGTGTCGCCGTTGTTTCTACCAGCAGCGTTTGCGCCATAGCCAAGACCGCCGGTTGCAAATCCATGGCCTTGGCCGAACATGCTGGTCCCACCAACAGGTGGTGTTCCGGTAGGCTTCAGTCCTGGAGGTGGCCCCTGCACATTGGCGAAGAACTGACCGCCCAGAGCTTGGTGCTGGGGAATCTGGCCGAAGTGGTTTGCGTTCTTGGGCATCATAGAATTTTGCTGACTCATCAGCTTCTGGTTCGCAACGGGCTGTACATTTGCGGAGGCGGACGCGCTGTCGTTTGCAAAGCTAAAGCGGGATGTCTGACGAGTGTGGCCTGGTGCGTTGGTGGTTAGACCGTGCTGCTGATTCTGAAGACTTTGCGAAGCGGCTAGAGGACCAGTGGGCTGTTGGTTTGACTTAAAGTTGGAAAGAAGCAGCTGTTGCTGTTGTTGAGTCGTCAAGCCCCGATTGCTGAGTCCGAGGCTGCTAAAGTCCTCCGTCAACGCATTGGTCTGTCCGAAAAGGCTGCCCGCGAAGCCTTGTTGTCCAGGGGGCGCGATTGCGTGGTGGTTCAAATGACCTGCACTGTTGTCGATACCGTCTTCTGGCTCGCCACCAAGCTGTAAGCTACCGCCAGCAGTCGCTTCATTGTCCTCGCGTTCTGGAGCGAGCGCTGATTGCGAGGGTACCTTGACTTCTGTTTCTGCCTCTCCATGAAGGGCCAGCTCGTTCTCCTTTTCCCTCATAGCGCGGCGCCTAGCCCCGCCATGTGGGTCTAGCAGTGACGGAAACTCAGTGATGGCCTTGAGCTCTTCCTCTGTGAACGCAGCACTGTTGAAGACGAAATTTGAAATCAGGCGAGCAGATGGTCTTCAGAAAGACTGCCTAGCCACGTTGTCGGAACCAGCCACTCCTCGGAGAGTTGGTGCCTGGAGCTGGTGAACGTTGAGGACTCGCAGACTTTGAGGTTGGTGCAGACTTCTCCTTCTCCTTCTCCCTCTCCTCTTTCTTTTCCTTCTCTTTACCCTTCTTCTTTGGTGTTTCTTCTGCCTTCGCAGCTTTCGCGACCTGTGCGGGAATGGCATTGGTGACTAATGGACTCGGATTTGATGCAATGGTGGAGCGGCTTGACCCGCCGTTCAAGCACTGCTTTGTTCCCCCAGCTTGCAGTGGCTGGTAGACCCGGCGCATCGTGCGAGGAACTCGAGGTGTCGTTGCTGGGTTGCCGGCTCATCGGTGCAGCAGCAGCGGCAACAGGAGGTCCAGGATGTGCCGGAGGTGCTGCACGAGAGGTGTTGGATTGAGACGGCTGTTGTGTCTGGATCGAGTTCATCATCGATAGATCTTGGCGTGTGAAGCTGTCGTTGTCTTCACCGGGTTCGTGTAGGAACATGCAGTTACGGTTGTTACATTGCTCGCCGCGGAGATAGGCCGAACAATATTTCGTCGTGCCATACTGGGCACTGTGTCACAATGTCAGTATATACACGGCAGACTTGCACAGGAGCACTGACCGTAGTTGCCTGTCGCCATTGGAAGAGCCGTCAACGGCTTTGATACATTGCTCGGCATCTTCCTTACGAGCGAATGTCACGTAGACACCCACCGACTGTTGATGTTGCGCATTCTCCCTAGCCTTGCTAACGACAATCTTAATGATCTTGCCATACTGTCCAAAGTACTCGGGGCCGCGTAGCGTGTCGAGTAGGCGGTCTTCGCGGATCGTTGGTGTGAGTCCAGTCACGTAGACGAGGTTCTTCTGGACGACGCGCAGGCCGGCAAGATGCTTGCGACTAAGAGAGTCGGCTTCAGCCTTCTGCGCCTCCTTTTGCCGTATCTGGGCGTTCTTCTTGGCTTTCTGCGCAATCTGCTGCTTGTGTCTGGCCATCCTAATCCATGTTAGAGGTGTTCAGGGCGGGAAGGTGCAGGGGGACCCACTCTTCTGGTGAGATGGTCTTCCACTCAATGGTGGAGTCATCGTACGGCCGACGGCAGGCGGGACACAGGCCGTTCATCGTGGTCTTGATGTTGTTGTAGCAGAATTGGCATATCTGGTCGCGGCGTCAGTACAGCATTTCGAGATGGCTTCGCTGGGCTGGTGGTGCAGATGGACGTACTTGATAGCCACAGGGACAGGGCCGGAAGTTCCTATCTGAGAGATCGAACTCCTCAACACATAGTGGGCAGCATTCCTCCTCTTCATCGTCGACAAACTGATCTGTGTTGTAGGCGGGACATGGTGGTGGTGGAGGATGTGGTGTGCGTGTTCGAGCGTGTCGGTGGCGCTCGCGCGAAGAGGGGCGAGTGTCGCGGTGAAGGTGTTGTTGGCGTATACGCGGGGACGCAGCAAGGAAAGGAGGACAAGCTCAAACAAACGCCTGCTGAAATAGAGTGGAGCAGAAAGGGATGCACTGGTGGTGATGGGGGTAGAGTTCTGCACCTGCGCACCCATCCCGACTAGGGTTGCGCTTATGTAACTAGCGCATACATGAGATGGGCAGTGGCTGCTCGGCGTCGACGACATCATCACCACCGGTCGCCCTCACCTGCTGCACGCGCAGTCTTTCACCCTCTCCACTCCTACAATGGCTATGCGGCTAGCTGTGGCCCGGCCATTGGGCGCCGTCGCGCGCTCCACGAGCTGCACCCGCGCTGCAGCCCGCACCTTTGCCTCGACGGCACTCCGGGCGAAAGAAGTTGCAGGCGAGAGCAAGGAGACGCCAAACATGCGGGTGCGCTAGGAAAATACAGCTGTAGTGATTCTGTCTGATCTGACTTTGTGCCAGTATGCCCCGCGCGACGCCCAAGGAAAGCTCAAGGCCGCCATTGTCAACCCGGCAGACAAATATAAAGAGAAGGGCGAGGCGCTGCACAAGTACGGACAGTACCTCATGTCATGCTTGCCCAAGTACATCCAGCAGTATGTAATCCCGAGCCACATACACGATGATGGCTGATCAGAGACAGGTTCTCGGTCTGGAAGGACGAATTGACCATCTACATTCCTCCTGCGGGTGTCATTCCCACTTTCACCTTCCTCAAGTACCACACTGCAGCCGAGTACACTCAGATTTCCGACATCACAGCCGTAGACTACCCCACCAAGGATCAGCGCTTCGAGGTCGTCTACAACATGCTCAGCATCCGCCACAACTCACGCTTGAGGGTCAAGACATATGCAGATGAGGCGACGCCAGTACCCAGTCTGTGCGATCTCTATGACGGCGCCAACTGGTATGAGCGCGAAGTGTACGACCTTTTCGGTGTCTTCTTCGTTGGCCACCCCGATCTGAGGCGCATCATGACCGATTACGGCTTCGACGGGCACCCACTGCGAAAGGATTTCCCCATGACCGGTTACACTGAGATCAGATACGATGAGGAGAAGAAGCGAATCGTTGTGGAGCCTCTGGAGATGACCCAGGCTTTCAGGAACTTCCGTGGCGGTTCATCAGCTTGGGAGCAGGTCGGTCCCGGAGACGACCTCAAGCCTGAATCCGTGAGTACTCTTCATTGCAGTATCATCCTTTGCGATTGGCCATCTGACACATGTGTAGTTCAAACTACCGACACCAAAGCCGGAGCCACCGAAGGAGGGCGAGCAGAAGAAATAGATCATCTAGACCGATTGAAGTGTATATATCTGCGATCAATGTACCAGTACGACATTTTGTTGTCCAAGAAGCTTTCCGAGTTTGTGTTCCGCTCACCTTCCAAGATACAGCAGCTTATCGCCTACGACCGGAAAGCGACCAGGGTGCTTGAAGGTACACACATAGCGTCAACAACATCACAATCGAGGCCTAGCAATACTGCCTACCTTTGGGCTATCCGACACCCCTGTTTACTTTCCGCGGTAGCATCATGAAAGCCCGGCATGCGTTATGTTACGCCGGTCGGGCATGGTAGCGATACAGCTTCGCAGGGAATGACTTTCTCCCTTCGGTCCGAATGTCCCGGTCCGAACGTTCCGATCCTGTCGAAGCAGCCGCCGGTGCAGGCAAAGAGCTTGAAATCATGATCAAGGCACCATTCGCCAACTGCAGTGATTGATGGAAGTGCCTAGCATGTCGCTGAAGCAAGGCAAGCCCGCCTTACAGATCGTTATATCCCGAGGTCGTTGTTCACTGTAGTCGCACAAGGTTAGCGCATACTCCAGAGTTTAGCTGATTATC